TTTAAAACAATGGGAAAAAAGGCAATGGAGACCCGGCTTTAGATATACAAACAAATGGAGTTACGAACAGCCTCTCGGTCCCCATTATGTTCGTAAGTTGGGGACTTTCTGTATATAGTTAGTAGTTTGTGTTCGTTGCATGGCCTATACTTGAAACTAAAAGAAGGCAACTTATTTGCAAGGTGTGGGTGGGTATAAGGAGGGCAATAGTTAATCTGGCACAAATGAGGAAGTATTGGTGGTAGATAGAACTGCAACTTCATGGCTGTGCTGACGAGAGTTCGCGAGGTAGGTGAGCCAGATTGGTGAGTATAGCAGCATAGAGTCAGGAAACATATCATCAGCGACTTCGTCAGGAAAGTAACACTGGCATGATTGGTCAGCACAAAGTAGCAGGGTAGACATGGTGCAAGTAGGAAGAAGACTTGGTAGCAATGGCTAGGCGTTAAAAAAGGCGAGGAGGCAGATAGCGTGGATCAGTAACAGGAGTCAGTGAGGAGCGTGATGGTAGGGGAATTACTGTCGGTGTTGTGAGGTTCTTCATCACTGCTGCCATTATCTTTTGAACTTCATAAGCTGTAGGTGGTTGCCATTATCCATTATGAATTACTGAAAAATATTTTATTAGTTTTTTTCTTCTAACTGATTAGTATTAGAGAATTACAGTGTAATATTAAAAGAAATAGATTAAAGTTACAATATGTTTGTGATTGTCAAGGTTTTTTATTTTTTCATTGTTTGAAATGAATATCTGTGAGCTTTTTTGAAATAAAATATTTATAAACTTTTAGAAATTTCTAAGTGACCTAATTGTACTTATGTTACTTCAAGGCCAATCCAATACACTCCTATGGCAAAATAAGAAATTAATTTCAATCTTTCTTATCTTTTCTTAACCATTTGTATATTTGGAGACTAGTGAATATCCTCAATAAAACACTTACAGAATGACCATTCAGTATTTAGAAATAATTTGAAGTTACATTATTTTTATGTATCTTTGTGTTTTCAGGTGAGATCATTGTACATGATTAGAATGTCTGTGAACTATGTTAAATATAAGAATTAATATTTTAGGAGTAAATGAATTAGCAAAAAGTCAATGACTTATTTCTTTATATCAAGTAGTTCTCAAACAGTGTTGATAAGAAAATTAGTAATTAGTATAGGTCATATATGTACATTGGTAAAAGATGTCTTCATGTAAAGTAGGGTAATAAGAAAAGTTAATTTCTTCTTTTCCTAAGAAGAGTTTTTTCTCTTTGCTCTATGTAGAGGGAAGTATTGAGTAACTTTTTTTTATTCCCTTTTTTTTTTGTTTTGTTTTTTTTACCAGAGTGTATCAAGAGGATCATCCCGGGCCCAGTCACCTCAACCAGGGGGATCACTTCACCCTTCTCCCTGCCATACACGTTCTCCAAGTCTCACAGCCAAAACATATAATCTTAATGCTAAAATTATTGATACTGGTAAGTTAATATTACAGCATAAGCATTAGCATTTTGACAGTCTGATTTTCGTGTCTTGCTCCAGTCTGTCTCTGACGTAACAGATGATTAGCTGCTGGTATAGTTCTATTCATTTTTAGTTTGTTTTCTTAATCTGCTTTATAATCAGACAAAGCAATGGTGTTCAACTGTCACCAGTGGTGATGAGAATATTGTATTCTTAGTTAGATCTGATTATCTCTGTGGTTGGAATAGTACTTTTTCTTTCATTATTTTTATGTAGGTATGGAAGACATGCATTGATACAGTTTAAAAAAGATATAGGCATGCAGGTGAAAGGAATGAAATAAGAGAAACAAAGAAAAGGTTGGGTGTAAAGAATGGAAATTGTTATACTTTTTCAAAGATCACTGTGGCTGTCAGGCATTCAAAACAGAGATGTCAATTTTATTCACTCTAGTAGGCCAGATATGATATTAGTACAATATTTGTAGGCCAGGTGATATATTTAGCATAAGAGATAAAAGGACACATTTATATATTGTATTAAACTCATTAAAAGTTGTCAAATGTAAAAGGCAAAAGGTCATTTGATTCAGTCAAATAACTAAACCATTTAAGTCTTGTAAAACAGAAGGTATGTTTGAAGCCGTGAATGGGCTGCATCCAGCCTGAGCTTCATATTTGACACCCATGGTCTTGAATGTCAAACTGTCAAGAGAAAGAAAGAACTAAGAATTAGCAAAGTCTACTTCCATCACTTGTTAAAGCATGCATGCATGAGTATTATTCAAGTGATTTGTAAAGTATGCTACATACCTAACACATTTTACTTTTATATATGCAGAGATTGTCCGAGAAGGTAGCAAGTCACATGCCATTTACATTGTATGCGTAATGAGAAAAGATGCATCTGGACAAGAAGAACTTTGGCATGTTTTTAGACGATATTCCGAGTTTCATGACTTCCACTTGTCAATTACTTCCAAAGTAAGTAACTTTGAATGGCAATTATGATATTTTAGATGTTTTTTAAATTCACCTGTATCTGGTTTGCTCATACATGCAGTGTGATAACTATTTGATGTAAATAAAGAGCAAAGTGACAGTCAGGAAGCAAAGTACAGTATTTAGATGTACTTCAAATAAAGATATAAATTTATAAAGTATGTGTTGCACTTTATGTTAAGAGTCATTTCTGCATAATCAACCAAAAAGGATTTTATTATCCTTTGGTGAATTTTTCAAAGCCCATACATTCTGTTAATAAATTAAAACATTTTTAACATAAATTTCTTCTCCCTATAATTACAGTTCATGGACTTATCATCGGTTTCTTTCCCAAGCAAAAGAATGCTGAATAACTTGGCTGCTTGGTTCTTAGAGAAGAGAAAGTCAGAATTAGATGAGTGGCTTCAGACCATCCTGGCTCCACCCACTCTTCAGTCCCATCCTGGTCTGCAGGAAATCATTCAACGCTTTCTTGACCAGACTACATACTCAACCTCTCCCCTTCCAAACATTGCGAAAAGGGTTTGTGATTTGTGCTCATTTCAGTTGACATTGATTTGAGGGGATTGATTTACGTTAGGTATAGGTATCCAGCACTATTTAAGACCTCTAGAAGTTTGAGAAACATCTCTCAAAATACATGTATTGAAATTTCATGATCAGGTTTTGCTTTCCATGATTTGTGCCTTACATTGAGTTAATCTTTTGTTTGTATTAGTTATGAAGTTGGATGTATTGAACCTACTCAAATTCCTTTTATATAGAACGTGATTTGTCTTATTTGATTCTACCACTGTGGGGGCCTTGGGATTTGTGGGGGGCAGATTTTCTCCTGGTTGGAACAGCATCAAACCTGTATCTAGTTAACATTAAAATTTATGATGTACTGATGTATAATATGCTGTAAGAAGTTGATAAATACTTGCTGAATAGACATATAGTCAACTATCAAGTACATGATGGACCAGCTGTTATGGTTTTTACTTCTATTACTTACTAATTTCTGTTCAAAAAGCTTTTAGTCACTAAGTTGTTAATCACTAGCCTACCAAACTTTTCCTGTCTGCCTTCTTTAAATTTTCAGGATTACTAATTTTATTTTTATTGCTGTTATTATTGTTATTAGTATTTTTATTATTGTTATTATCATTATTATTATTATTATTATTATTATTATTATTATTATCATTATTATTATTATTGATAACATTATTATTATCAGTAATTATTATTATTATTACTACTGTTATTGTTGTTATTACTGTTGTTGCTATTATTTTTATTATTGTTCTTTTTGTTATTATTATCATTATTATTATTGTTGTTAGTGTTATGATTGTTATTATTATTTATTATTATTTGTAATAGTAATTATTAACCCATTGCTGCCGGGGAAAATGAACAAAAAATGGGGAAAATGCTATGCCTATTTTCTATATTTTTTTGTGAAATGTCTGCCCATAGATGGCTCTCTTAGTGCCTGATTTGAAATGGCGGGAAAAAAGTGTTTTTCACTAGTGCCATGAATATCGTTGGTATTATTTTTATTAAAAAAATATAATTTTTATAATGTTTTTTAACATTAGTAACAGCAAAATAAGATAACGTAAAATATTAAGTAAATCAAAGAAAAGGGTGGATGGGCGAGACAGGCGGTACTCGTAACTGGTTCATTGGGGAGTTAGTACAAGTGTTGCCATCTATGTGTAAAAACAATCCAACAAGTAATCTCACAGTGGGCATGGCATGGCATGCCCATCGGGAATGGGTTAATTATTTTTGTCATAGATGAGGTCAGGTAAACCTAGTAATTAAGTCCCTGTCAACTGAGTACTTGTGTGTTGAACAAGTGTAATAAAACCATAGTGGATAGTTTATTTATACATGTAGGCATCAAAAGGCTAAGAATATTTATGAATTGTAATATTATGTATACTTAAGATGGCTTCCCTTTTTTTGCATAAGGAATAGAAAATCGAAGGTGAAGAAGGGTCTTCAATTGAGGATAGATATCCTCTGGAGGTTCTGGTAATGTTCATATAGTAATATATATTTATATATAAAAACAATTCTTATTGATAAAAACAGTTCAACAGGCTGTGCCTTGGCCTTAAATAATATTGTATAGTTTAGTAGTTGAGGAAGTAAATATCACTTTTCAGAAAAACTTCTTTCATTCAGAGTGGCAGAAAACATTTAAATGATTTTTATTGATTTGTGCAATGTGCAAGGTTTTTTGTTTTGTACATACAATTGTATATGTGTATATACTCATATGTGTGTGAACATGTGTGTATATATATGTGTGTGTTTGTATGTAGTAAGTGTATTTTGATTGTTTGCCTCTGTGTGTGTGTGTGTGTGTGTGTGTGTGTGTGTGTGTGTGTGTGTGTGTGTGTGTGTTTGTGAGCACATGCACATGCATGTGTCTGTGTATGTGTGCCTGTGTGCTGTATTTAGATAAGCAGGTAGTCAAATAGTTTTTATCTTAATTTTTCTAATGAAGAAGGTAAATTTGATCTAGTGATATTATCATTTTCAGGATGTATTTAGAGGTACAGGACGTTGTCTTAGCAGTTGCATTAAATGGTGGGGCGGGGGAGGAGGGTAAAATTCTGTTTACCTCCCTCAAGGTCTGTTTTCCCCTCAACCCCCAGGGTAACATTTTTTCTTTTCTTTTTATCACACCAATATAGGTCTGGTTATAGCCTAAAAGTCTCCATAGAGTAGCTATTTTTCCTAAATTTCTTTTTTGCTTTGCTCTCCTACTTCCTTTTTCCCCCCTCCCCCCACCCTCCCTCTTCAAGAAAAAGCTGAAATGATACCCCTGTCTTAGATTCATACTTTACCAAAGCTAAACAAGACAAAAGTCATATTGGAACAATGGCACCCTCTTTTCATTAAATAGGATGTACAACCATGATGATAGCAAATAAAGTGTAAATGAGAGTGTATTCCTACAGGAAGGTCAAAATCAGGCTTTTTTCTTATTCTATTCTAGAAATCAAACTGTTGGGACAGTATATCTTCCTCTGATAAAGTAGTCTTAATCATTTATAAGCCGCTCCTGTTCCAATGCTGACTTCCTCACTGGTTTTATCTGATTGCCAGGTAGAGGACAATTTCAAGTTAGGTGTACGTAGTGTGAGTGAGGCAGTGAGGTCCATGCCTGACACAATATTCAATACTGTGGATGGCATGGTGGATGGCATCTATCGGCGCATTGTAGGGCCACCTCATCGTAGACTAAACACTAGTGCTGATTATACTCATAGAGGGTCACTTGATCTAGAGGTAAGAAAGTGTTTATCGTCATCGTAAATTTAGAAAATTACACCAATAGTGATAATTGATTGCTTTGCTTAAATATAATTGAAGCTTTGTCTATATATATGTATGTAAATTATTGTTATGTTTTCTTGTGTTTTCTGTTTTTTTGTCGTTATTCATACATCTCACATGCACGAACGCACACGTGCATGCACACACACACACACACACACACACACACACACACACACACACACACACACACACACACACACACACACACACACACACACACATATATATTGTGGGTGTAGTAATTTTGTTTAACTTCAGAAAGTGTGCCCAAAACCTTCACAAGAAATATTGTGAACCTATATTTTCTTAGATAAATACATGACAGTATAGGATATTTTCTCCTATTTTCTTATTCTTAATTTTTGTTAATCTTGCACCATAGATATTACATCAGAATATTAGTTGACAATGCATTTGTAGTGCTAATAATAGAGTCATGACTTTTCTGTATGCATTGGGTTTTACTTTCATTTTGATCTTTCTAGGGAGATGAAAATATACCTCTGCGCATCTTGTTATTGCTAATGGATGAAGTATTTGATCTTAGAAGTAAGGATCAGTGGTTCAGACGTCGGATTATGCTGTTTTTAAGACAGATTTTAAAAGCCATGTTTGGAGATATTGTCAACAGAAGGATTGTTGACTACGTTGCTTATATCACATCTCCTGATCAAGTTGCTGATTACGTAAAGACTTTCAAGTGAGTAGCCTTTGGGACTGTTTACACTCAGCTTATCTAATGTAAATGGATTTTTTATTTCCATTTCATTTCATTTCCTTGAATTGTTCTATTATTGCTTGAATATTTTGTACTGTTATTTCTTTATCTCTCTCTCTCTCTCTCTCTCTTTCTTTCTCTCTCTCTTTCTCTCTCTCTCTCTCTCTCTCTCTCTCTCTCTCTCTCTCTCTCTCTCTCTCTCTTTCTTTCTCTCTCTCTCTCTCTCTTTCTCTCTCTCTCTCTCTCAAAATATGTAAAAAATTCACCTTTTGCATGTATTTTCATCACCATATGTTAGAGTAATGCCTTTTTATAAGTCATATTGTTACAGAAAAACTTTTCCCAGATTTCTTCTTGTCAACACAGCTCCTCCTTGATTATTGAGTAAAGGTACAGGTACAAAAAAGTGAGAGATATTTATCTGTCATTGTTTACACCTTTTACAGAGAGTCATTTTGGCCAAATGGTGACCTAGCACCACAGGCCCCAGAGAGAGACACTCCAATGAAAATGAGGACCAGGGTTGCTGCCAGAACATCAATGTTAGCCAGTATATCAGGTAAATGTGGTGGTAGTATCAAAATAAATAAAGATACATTGTGAGGATAGTTACAATGATGGTATTAGTTTCTTACAAAAAGGTCATGGTTCAAATTATCAGAAATGACAGACCAAAACATAATTACAAGAGTTTCATGAAAATGTATGGCCCTGTATTTGGCTGTAATTGCAAATCACTACATAGATCATGTTTATCAGTGGGCCTCATTGTATGCCTGGCAAACACTCAGCTGATGGCTTATAGCAGAGTAACCTGGCTACTAACCCTCATTCACCCCACTCCTCCTATCATATGATATGATGCTTAACATTATAAAAAACAAGGATGACAGACTATAAATTACCTTTGTATGTCAAGGACAACAGCTGTTCACAATCCATGAGCAAAAAATGTTGAATTTGTCATGTACCTGGCAGGGCAGTACCTATCCCAAAGGTACTTTATGATATATTTATTTATCTATTTGTTTATACATTCATGGTGATTGTCACAGTTAATCCATTGGGGACAGGTACATGCATTGTCTACTGTAGTTCTCTCTTGTTAATTTTATTGACATATAGATGACTCCACAAGTGCTTAGACACTAAGGGGTCAAACACAAGGCCTTCCTAACCTCCACTATAATACTATTATTTTTATTGGTAGAAAAAAAACACAATGCAAAGAGGGAAAATACCATAATTAGCAAATTCAGTCAAGGTGTGCAAATGAGTGTTGATATGCAACACTAATACAAAGCAACAACAAGTAACTCCTGTATAGTTTCATGACTGTCCCTTGCATTATACCCCTGCTGCTTCCATGAAAATTAGTGAAAGTTGCTTCAATATGAACTTGTGAAGGCTGCAGCGTAAGCCCAACAACTAATGTAGTAGTTAGTTAACCCATTGGATCTGGATGCTTTACTGCAATCTTATGACCCAAAATTCGGGCACTAGGCTTACTTGAACAGCCACTCTCTTGTATCCAGTTTTGTGAAATACAACCTGCATTGCTGGTCAGGCTGTCCTCGAATAGGATCCTGAACCAGTGCTCTTTCATTCATGGCTCACAGAGAGCACATTCCACACTCATTTATCAATGGAAATAATGCCAAAAGACTCTTAACGCAATGTCTGCCAAATGGCCGCATCTGTAAGGATGCCACCCTATGATGCTGCCATGGCATCATGGTAGATGCCACCTGCGAACAAGGGGTTAATCACTTTCCAAGAGGTTTGTACATTTGTGGCAAGTCATTCCTGTCACCCCGGCCTTCAGCCAAAATGCTCACAACAGCAAGTCGGCATCACCCTGGCCCATAACCAAAAATTCCCATGACAGTATATTCACATCACCCACCCCACAAGCCAAATTTTTTGTGACATGATGGTAAGGGTTAACAAGTATAAAATGACTACCACTGTCATCCTATCATTTTAATTTTGCACAATGAAACTATAGTTGACTGAAAGAAACCTTTTCACTCCAAGATTTAAAAAAATGAACAATAGTTCCGTGAGACGATGAAATGATACTGGATGCTATTTAAATTAACTTGTGGGGGTGTGTGTGTAAACTTCTCCTTCTCTTCCTCCTCCTCCTATAGTGCCCACCCTTTTTTCTTCTCCTTAGCAAAGACCCTATTACTTCCCTTAACTCTGGGAAGCACTCACACTTTGTCCAGAGGGGCACTCTTTCTCACCAAGTGTGGTTTCTTCAAAAGATTTAACAGTTATACTTTTAGAACCCACACTATAAAAGAATAATAATCACATAGGTTACTTATGATCTAACTTCAGCCTTAGAGGTAACTAAGAGAAGGGTAGTATCAAAACACTTGATAAGCTTACAACATTTGCTGATATATTGAGTCATAAGTCATTACACTTCTACAATAAAAAAAAACAAAAAAATATTCATCTACAAAAAGTCCAAGTACATGTATTTCAACCTGTCACTCTTTACACTTGTTCTTCTCTGATATCTTCTTTTCTTTCCTTCATCAGTTCTGTGGACTCCCAAAGATGATATCTTCTTTCGTTCTTGTTTACAGCCCCAAGGACGTGAAAACCAAAACATTAAAAAAAAATATATATATATAAGTAGAAAAGAAACAATGATTATAGTTTAGGAATGATAAAACAATATAGAATTATCAAATATAACTAAATCATTTCTTAGTGGAACAAAAATATTTCTTACAAACAGACAAATGGTGTATATTTATGCCATTATATACAATCTGATTAGTTATATGCAATTTTGACTAATCATCTTTTTAATATTATTCCATTATAAATGTCGTGAAAACTTACTCTTTGAAAGGGTTTTTAAATTCTTAATAATAATAAGAGAGAGACATCAAGATGGCGATCAAGTGCCACATGCCAGCCACAGGTTGTGAAGAAGACATAGTTACTTTTCTTTTGTTCTGTAAATCAGATTTATAGTATTTTAGGATTTTATTAATGATATGATTATGGCTGAATGTTCTTTTTTACCTCTGATATTTCATAATAATTTTAACACTTTCAGGCAGTTAAATGGCACTCCTTTCTCTATGGTTATAGTTATAGTATCAGGATTTAGCATTGTATACTTCAAAATTTAAGAATCTTTAACAATAAATTTTTTTTCTTTCTTTCTTTCTTTCTTTTTCTTTATTAAAATATCAATTATACAACCTTAGTATAACAGTACCAGTGAAATATAACAGTGTACCCTTTAAATATAGAGTATGGATTGTGTGGGTGAAGAAAAACAACTATTATTACACTGTTTCCTAAATCTTAGAAAAGTAAGAACTTTATACTAAAAATAAAGTATCATCTTTCTGGAAAAATAAGTACTTTTATCTTGCATAACTAAAGACTAAAGCTGAGATATACATAATTAATAATATATGCATAAAGACCAAGTAAGTGAGGTATA